CGAAAAGCAGCATGGTCGGTTTAGTCTATACAGTTATGCGCATTATACAATATTGTATAAACTTTAAATTCATTTTTCTTTCTTTAATACAATCAGGTTCGTCCAAAAAAATTAAGATAAATACATATTCACTTTTTCAATACTAGGCCACTACACGCATGAATATCTGTAGTATTTCCAATCGCGAACATAATCTAGGATATCCTTAATTTTTCTTTTTTTTTAGTACAAGAACTTGGACGATGAGCACAAAGCGCTTTTCGATGCCGTTTTCAACTGTGCCTCTAAGAGAGACCAAGGCGCCCTCGGCAACCTGCAGTCCGTGTCCGCAAACCACTTCTCTGACGAGGAGGTGAGGAGTTTTGACGTCTTTAGCCAGATATACTCTTATAAAACTCAATATTCCGTCTATTGTGACTGACTTTTATAAAATTTGAAACTTAATTTTCATGCGTAAACTTTTGTTGGAATATAGGGTGAACACCCTCCCTTTGTAATGATGGACATTTTTCAAAGACTTGTGCTCTATTTTGTGGTTAATGTTGAATCTATTGCGCTGGAAGCGTTGCTCCTCTTGTACGGTATACACGTCAGCTTCGCGCTTTCTGTTATTTATGCCCCATATAATTCTTTGCAGGCTAAAAAGTAAGGACTATGTTAAAAATCTTTCAACCAATGTGTATTCATTTTAATTTCTGATCTTTTAAATCTGAAGCTGAAGGCGGAGTCTCCTTTGCGATTGAAATTAGAACATTTAATTGTAATACCATATTTGTGGTATTTTTATTTATTTACTTTGTTTTGACAGGGTATGATGGTCAAAGTAAACCTCCCTGGTTTTGCCAGACATAAGATCATGCATGACAAGTTCTTGGCCGTCCTCGCTGCCATAAAATGCCCCATCTCCGACGCTGACCTTCTATTCTGCAAGGACTGGTGAGTGCGTTAGTTGAGATACGTAGAAGCAATCAAACTTCAATCTGTTTTCTCCTCGCGCTTTGCTGCCGATAGCTCAATCGAAACCATCATACGTTCTTGGCCCCTTTTAACATCGAGTAAAAAGGTGCTTACTCTATGTGGTTGTCAGTTAATGATAATGTATATCCGATTTCTTCTTTCAGGTTGGTACAGCACATTAAGGTTGAGGATCACAAGTACAAGGGGAAATTGTAAGAAGAAAGACAATCTCTCGCGCCAAAGCCTGTGAAAGATTTACTCGTGAAGAGCACAATTTAAGACCTTAACAGCATCACTTGCCTTTCAAAGACGTAGGTTTTCGCTAACAGCTGTGGAGTTGTCTGAAAATACATAAAGATTAAACGCTGCTAGGAGAAAAAGTAACAAAAACAAGACTGTTCTCTTCACAAATCGAGAAGTAAAAAGAATGTTTGCGCACACCTAAGATCATATTTTGCAAAAGCGAAACGAACCGGGGCATTCTAGACGTGAAACTCGCACAGGTTTAAGATAGATGATGGTTGTTCAAATCACACAAATGTATTTTCAAATAAAAGGCGTATTGTTGAATACCGTTATTGTTATTTGTTTTTACAGTGTTTGTGTGTGCATGTATGTGTGTTAATTTTTAGTTTGAAATACATTTTTAAAGTTAAAATAGAAAAACTGAGAGCATCTATTAGGGACGAGGTGTTCATCGATTTATCACGTTTCCCAGTAATACTACAAGTTTGAAGATATATCTTCATATCACGACATTGTTGATTACAGAGGAAGAAAATGAAGGCCCTACTGGGATTCGAACCCAGGATCTCCTGTTTACTAGACAGGCGCTTTAACCAACTAAGCCATAGAGCCGATATGATTCGGGGGATGGGGGAGAGGAAATAGTCCAAAAGCTTCGCCAGCCTCCTTTATCAAGACAAATGTGTATGAACACTTTTGTGCGAAGAAGAAATATTTTTCTTGCATTACTCCCCCTGCTTTTAAAGCGGTGGTTTGGAAATTAAAATGCCGTGGATATCGGAAACAAAACGCGAAGGCCTCTTTTATCTTATACTGTATATAATTAAACGTACGCACGCAACGCAAAACGTTATTACTCAAAAGGCAACGAGAAAATATGAGTCGATTACAACGATTCATATAGCACTGGTCAGTAATATTTTTATATTTTCATTCTCTAAAATTCTCTTTTTGATACGCACTTGCACATGTTTCGTGGCCAATTATCTCAAGTTTGAAGATAATTAGTGCAGTCCATTTTACTAATTGATGCAGATAGAGGAACGAAGAACTTATCGTATCATCTTAATTACATGTAGATAGGTTAAAGCAAAGAATGTCATCCATTTCCTTGGTTAAAGATGCTTTCTGGTGACCATGGGATTCCGCTAGTAGTTGAATTTGTTATACATTTGTTGACGGGGTGGTTACATTATAGGAGACGAGCTGATTCAGGGGCTAATGCTTAAAATTTGTGTACTACAGTGTAGTTTAGAGTCATCTGATAACAAAAAGGAGGTTAAAGTGCAGGTTAGGCAGAGAGGAAGCTGTACTGTAGCCTAGAATAGTAAAGGGATAAGATGGAGGGCAAAGAGAAGGGGGATGGAAGAAGGGTATAAGTTAGAGAGAAAAAGATTAAATCAAAATCGAAAAATTGAAAAAAGAATACGCGTGGGAGTAGTGAGAAGTGAGGCAGTTAAAAGATAATGTTGAAAATCTTCGGGTAATAGGCCTACACGGTTAGGTGTAACGTATGCATACGCAGTCCTCGAGTTTCCACTGTGTCCTATTTTCATGTAATTCTACAGTGTAGAGCAGTAAATGCATGGAGGACATCAAACTGTAACTGTCAACCTGTGACAAGATGTGCAATATGAACATAAATATTTTATGAAACCTGCATAGAACTCACAAGGTATCAGTACATACATATCATATACAGCAAAAAGCAAATGTCGGCAGAGTGATGCTGATGCTTCTGCCTGAAAGAAACGTTTTCAGCTTAAAGTGACAGAGGCAACGGCTCCTTTTGAGGACTCTGGTTTTGCACAAGGGTGTCCGTTTTTAGACGTGGTAACGTACTAGTAGCAACACAGGGACATAGCGCAGCAGGTACAGTGAATAAGAGTTAGTTGTATTAGCGAGGAATTTCCATAAAAATCCACTAAATTGGTCTGGATTATTCTAACACAGGTCTTGCATTTGCCTTTTATATGGACAAACATTTTCCAGGAGCTATAGCGTCATAAATATCGGATTTATTATTCAGCATTTCCACAGGGGTAACTTGGGCGTGGTGTCAGTTCCCGTGGGACACAAGTGCATTGAACTGTTCCCGTCACCGAGGCGCAATGGACTATAATGAAGACTATCGATATACCAGTACCAGGGTCCCCAGCCTACCCTATAGGGGCGCCAAAATACACGTCTTCTTATTAATAGTTGTTATCGTGGGTCTCCTGTATTTGTTTTCACACACCAGCGCTAACCCCTTCGGTAAACGGCTAAAAATTCGGAAAGTCGCTTTCGAGGAGTCGACTAACGTGTCATTGGTCAAGATCGCCGTTGTGAGTTCGCCCATAGTTGAGACAGTCTCTCCCGGCAACAAAACAGCGGTAAGAAATGTTCGAGCGTTGGTATCATCCGCCAACAGTACCAGTGCGACTTTGCATCTAAATAACAGGGTAATGAGCTAGAAACCCATTTCACTACAGGTGACAGAGACGCCAGGGATTTATATAGTCATATATTATGTATAGTCATAAAAATGAACGGCGAATTTATGAACAATAACGGCAATGGAGGTGCTAGAATTACTTGCAGATGAGATTGCACAACTAGAGACTCCCCAAGCATGGGAAAGCGCTGAGAATTGTTTTCTTTTTTATAGGAAAGAGTTGCACATGCCGAAGGCAAATTTATCAAGACGGTGGGGGAACCATCCAGCGAAATACAATTACTATTTGGGTTTAATGTAACATTTTAATGACTTATTAAGTATACATTTGGCTCAAATCAGTGGACAAGGGTCTTTCTCCTCCTGATTTTTGCGCTAATGGCTGGCGTGATTGATAAAGGGGTCTGGGGTTGGGAGGTTGGAAGCGTATCCCCTAGTCTCACTAAGGACTCCCACGCCTATGGAGGGGCCACGATCTGCCTCTGCTGAATGGAACATGTCGCAATTTATCCATGGAGGCCTACACTGTATAAACATTTCACAAACTGTGTAAAAAAGACACTTCCAATATACATGTATTTTGTCCAGAGATTACGAGTGAATGAAGTTAGACGATGAAGATTGCCGTACACATTTATAAATTCATACTTGACACAAATAAAGAGCTTATTTATGGTAACGATATGACCCACGTTTACAATATAACGACTGCATTAAAGTTCGCAATTTCGAAAGGTGAGCCAAATGGCATGGTGTCGTCTAGTTTTAAATCTAGTTTTAATATATTCATGAAACAACAGATTCTTTCTATCTTTATTAATCGCGTTAGTGTTATTCAGATTAAAAATTTCACCATGAATTTATCAACACTGGAGGGCAGGATACATGGGGCCCGGGGCTATGTTTTGTTTATCGCTGGGACTCGTTTATACATGGATTATTACTGTTGTACCTTTCTGTGATTTTTATGTACGCTTTATATACTGCTACAGTGGTTTTCCGATAAAAATCTATAATAGCTTTAGGGAACACACCGCCTGGCCTAGTGGAGACTGTATGCTTATTCAGATATATACATGTACACGTGACATATTCCAAAAAGTCGGGCAAAAACTGCCTCAAAAAAAAAAAAAAAAAAAAAATTTGGCCGTGGCCTATGCATAAAATGGTACTCTGTCCACTTGTAATCAACCGATATTTATGAAGAAAGAGTTCACTCAACTGTTATTTAAACTCGTTTACAGTTTTCAATCAAATTCATATTATGCTTGATGGGCTGCGGAAATTTGTGGATTCGTGAACGGCTATCAATAAATGGGTTGAAAAATCTCAACAAGAAATGAATAAACAACAACACCAGTTTCAGATCCAGTTCATCTTTATTGCAGTGGCATGACATGCGACTACAATCATGCTTCCATAAACCCCCACTGTATTATACAGCAGGCAGACCAGGCACCGGAAGTAGCCTGTTCCCATAGCAATTCTCTTTACAAATTCAGCACCATTATGAAATCAGGGCAGTGTTAATAAAAATAATATTGTAAATGCATTATTATCATATCTACATCATAGAACTGCAGGCCAAGGCCTCACAAGATCACATATCTCGAGCCAGTTGTCTCCCGTTTGCCATTCTAGAGCCAGTTCACAGCTAATTTCGCAGTCTTTACTGATAGTGTTCATGTCCTCAATTGATCTTAAACAGAACTGGTTTCGTACAGACGGAACAATCTACAGCTACGTTATACAAAATTACACAGTGGGATATTAACTCATTGACCTTGACACCATTTGACCTCGACCTCTGGCCCTGGACACGTGACCTGATTAGCCTCCCCCGCAGCCTACGTCATGGCAGTATGTAGCTGTCGTGGCAGTAGGGAGCTCCATATCACATTACACTTGACACATGAGTTTAAGTCTCTAGTCTTTTTTTCTTTGTGAAGTGCATACTAGTAAGTTTCAGGGAATCGCATATGCTAGTTGAAAGGCCCCCTAAGACCAAAATCTATACAGCACTATACCTTTAAATAATGCCGCTGTCTACTTAAGATGGTAAGTCTAATGTTACGAAATGTACAAGTTTGGAAAGACAGCGTGTGTGAGATTTGGAATTGGGTTTTTTCCCCACCACCTCAGCAGTCCCTTAGGGGGGCCGCAAGGTGGCTGGGGTTCTGATCCCAAGGGGCCTTGTTTCCATGACAACAGCGTCCCTTGAATCAACAGGCAGAAACAAAATTACTTAATTACATCTTGGCATAGAGCTAGGCATACACAACGAGCATAAAATAATAATAAGAACAATTCTACAATATCTCATACTTTTCATAGTATTACATATCCGACCCTCACGAAATGGGAGGTTTTTCGTTTACATCTTTTCTTTCCTTTTATTTTTTTAAATTTTTTCAATTGATTCAAGTCTTTCCGATCGTTGGCGTCATCATCTAGTACTTATAAATGCATGATTGTAGAGATAGGTTATGAGAAGCAGACTTGTCCGATTTCCAGCCCGAAAGCCTTTCCTCTGCCGACGTCCCTCACAGCTATATCCATGATGGGCAGCCGCTGGGGTTTCTCTGTGTCGATGGCGATGACAGTCTTGCCCCATTTGCCAGTGTTCTCCTGGAAAGATGAATTGAAGAGATTATGACACATATAAATACCAGTGATCCCATTGAAAAAAACGGAGCGTATTATTTTGTTCATTTAATTTTCTTGAATGCAGGTTACGCTATAACTTATCCCGTGTTTGATAAGTATAAAATCTTTAAGTTTTCTGTGAGGAAACATCCGATATTTGAAAACTTTGTCGGACAGAAATCTTGTTGGTACATGGTCTTGTCTTTTATACAAAATTTTAAACGGGTGATAACTTCGTGAGAATGCATAATTTGAACGCCACCTAGTGTCTGGTCTCAAGAAAAAAATTCACCTTAAAATTTAAAGAACAGATCTACAATCGCACAGGTGTGAAGAGAAAGAGAGGCAGACCTCTACCATTAAAATCACTAGGTATCACAACCCTTCCATTTTTACACCAAAATACATCAGAGCAATGACCAGGAACTCGGATCACAGAAACTGGTACTTACGCCGCAACTGTCCTCGTTGACGTTGTATCTTGTCTTGGGGCCGGAGTCTGCCTCCAGCTCAAGCTCGTTGTAAGTGAACAGCTTCACGGCCTTATCGAGAGCGGCCTCTCCATCAGCATAACCAACAGAGTTACGGCAATGGTAGGTGATGGTCTGTCTGGCCGCGTGGCTGAGAATCTGCAGGAAGTTGATCTGGATCTTGTCGGTTTGGTAGTAGAACTGGAAAGAAAAAACAGGTGGCGGATTAGATGACACTGATGTATTTTTTATTTCGGGTTGGGGATGGGGGTTACAGGCGTTTGTAGTGTTGTGGCTGTTTAACGGGATAATAAGAGCATTGGTGTGATTTGTGTTTAATAGACCTAAAGCAACAACTTTGTATCTGACGCTTTTCTAGATTTTGGCATATTGACTGGGTGACGACAAATTGTAAGGAAAACGAGGTTCATTAACAAACGTTTCTCTGTGAAACCAAAAAGCTTACTTTATCTCCGCCATCAACGTTCTCTCCAAACCAAATGTGTTCGTCGACTTCTTCGGTCATCCATTCCTTCTTCTCAAACTGTAATAATAATAATAATGATAATAATAATAATAATAATAATATTCAATATACCTCAACTCATGTCGGTTACATTGTATGAGAAAATATTTAATCTTTAAAGCGCAATATCCTTGAAAATAGAAAGTAGCCTGCTCCCAATGCTCTTGGCGTATTACGCAGTTTAAGAATACTAATAGAAAAGAGACAAGCTTTTTATCACATTGGACGTCCTTTACAAACTTCAATTAAATCCAGGTAATTATAATCCGGAAAAATTTGAACAACTTACTGCATCTCTCTTGGGGAAAATGCAGGTCTCGCGCGTCTTCATGTCACAATACACTTCAATGGGGCTAGAGCTGATGCCGCCTTCTGGGTTCACCCAGTATTTGCCTGCAATGGAATTACAACACATAAGTGGGTGTGTTCAATTTAGTACATTAATAAGCACATTGTGCATTGCTGTTGACGGCTATTTTCTATTCTTTGCTTACGTTTCCAAAGCTTTCCACTTCCCAACTCAAGGACCCATCCCATCACGATGCTTTCAAACTTTCATCTTTAATTTGACGTCGAATTACAATAAAAATATCTGTACAACTTAAATCAGAACTTTTGACAGAGATCTTGGCTCCACTTACCGCTCTCCAGTTTGTCGTTGGCAGCAGCGAGATCTCTGCAGGTTCTGGCGGGGTTCTCCTTGGTGCCGTCTGGCTTCCTCATCTTGTTGATGGCCTGTTGGAGGTACTGGAGGCTCTCAAAAGCGTTCTCCTGCAAGAAGCAAACCAGGTTCATACCAGTGTGTTAACTATATCATGATATTATCTAGGACCTTTTTGAAGGTTCCAATATTGCGTTGTCACTTCTTTTAAGGCACTGTTTTAGACCATGGCCGCTTCGACCAAATATTGTTTACTAATTTACTTCTTTTTCCTTTCTTAAATATTTACCAAAACATTTTAACGCCACTTCCAGATGCTAGTTGGACATTATGTTGTAGGATTACAATTTAAAAGGCGGTCAGATTTCAAAACTCCAACTTACCTCTCCTGAGAATTTTCCTGGAGCATCATTCTACGGATGGGAAAAATTCATAAATTATTATAATTAAGCAAGGTGTATCATGGACTATCATAAATGATCATAAATAAGCAAGGTGTCTATGGACTATCATTAATGGCAACAGTAAGATCGGTAAAATTGTAACATTTTAATGATTCTCCGTTTCAGAAATATTGTAAATAGTGTTCCTGATATGAACATTTTAGCATTTAATTTCTTATCCCAGTTTCATTCTATAATTACTGACAATTGTGCTAATCTTGATTGTTAACATTTAGGCAATATTAAAAATGAAACGCAAATAGAACATTTATTAATTAAGAACATTTGCAAGTGCAAGCTAAATATTCTGTTAAAACGGTGAATTTGCGTTTAAGAGTGCTGCCAAAAACTGAATTTAAACAAAACTGAAGGGAATTCTATCTACTGACGTGTATAACAGACCATGCAACTATGAAAACAAAACAAAACAGAACAGAACAAACAACAACAAATAAATAAATAAAGTTACAAAAGTAGAACAGAGGTAATGCAAATCTAGATGTACTAACAAAACTTAATCAATATACACACATGCAGGGTAGGATTAAACAACAACAGAATAGAGGACTGAATACCCAAGGAAAGAAACAACAAATTACACTCACAAACAAATAAATAATCAAAGAAAGAAAAAACAAGACACTAAAACATGCAGGGCGTTAAGGAGTGGAGGTGCAGATGGGGTGTGTGGTCTAGGGTGCTGGTGAGGTGGGCCTGGTAAATGAAGGTGCAATATAAACGGTAAAACGGTGAAGGTGTGCAACGCCGCGCTAAAGAAAATAGTGCAAAACTTCGAAATAACCTTTAAAACGCCATTTTGATAGTGTGAATTATTTGCCACTTGGCTTTGGTCAATCAAATTCACCCAACGTAAGGTTATTTCAAGTAAGTCAATCAAAGTACTGAAGTGCGCCATGCCAAAATTGACTGTGCGAACGCGCCGTGTTCACAGAGAACGCTGCAATATTGTGCTGCTAAGTAAAAGTTTGTAAGAAATCATCAACCACGAGTGCTCTTCTAGTTCAGTGGGTGTTGGTTTGGTACGTCTACTACAGTGTCAGAGAGTATGCCGTTGGTGCTTTCAAGTACCATGTACCGAACTCTGAGATTGGAGGTTCCCAGTTGCCCGACTGTGAGAGTGAGGTGTTCTGGTCTTGGCAAGTAAAGTGCGATTCCTAGTGTTAATTTTTCCAGTCAGAGGGCGTGCGAGAACAATGCTCTTTCTATTGGACTGGTTACTCTTTGCTGTAAGGTGCAAACCAACCTATGAGGTGGTGCAGTGAACCTTGGTCGATTGAGGGATAAGTTTTGACAGAAAGTGCATGACTCGAAATAACGATAAGGGGTTTAAAACGACTGCTTGGTGCACGGAAGGAATCAGGTGCAAAGGACAACAACGTGTCAGTTATGTGCTGCAAGTTCAAGATTAACTAGATCTTTGTGTGGAATGATGGAAAAGGTCGTCAGTATGTAGGGTGCAGTGTCTAATCCAGAGAGTTCTATCGCTTTCTTTCTCTTCTTCCAATAGTAAGTGAAGGAGGGGAGAATGGTGCTGATATCGATATGGAGGGGATGTGGAGAGACAGAGGGGGGATTCCTACTGCGGTTTAAACCGCCTCTCTACTCACGAGGTAGACTTGTCCCTTTCCGCCAGACGCGGGACGCGCCATAAGAGACATGAGTAATCCATCATTACTAGAGGCAGCGCCTGGTGCACCCTGAGCACGTGAGTGAGGAAATGAAATAAATATAAGCCAATCATTAATCATGAATGCAACCCAATCATTTTGTGGTTCAAGTGAATGTGGGCTGTGAAGCCTGGGGCTCTTCTTAATGTCGTCGTGTCCTCTCCTCCTGATGGACTGAATAGTGCATTCTGCAAGATCGCCATGGTTTATCATTGCACAGCAACCGCGGTGAACCCGCGTTTGAGTTTGATGCAACGATAACTTTTGACGATACTGTACATGGTGACGGATTCAAACGGTGGTTCTTAGTGTAAGCAGTAGTGAGTGAACAGCTCTCATAGCTGCCAGGCAGAGCCGTAATGCGCTGGTGTGATGCGCAGTCTTACACATAAAAGAAACCAAAATTGTGTGACTCGCCCATAAACACACCAAGTGAAATTGCAATCACATCAACATCTGTGACTGTGGTATGAAGCAAACTTAGATCGGAAGTGAACAGCCCGTCATCTTCAATGCTGTTTTATCGCAATCACGGTGATCATACGGTCACTACTCACTAGAGGTCCTTTACTAGAAGATCCTCTTCGAGCCAGAGCGGAAAATAGCACTGAGTCTACAGCGGCCGGTGATCCCGACTGACCCTGCATATAGTTGTCGATAAAGTTGTTATTTATAATACACTAGAGTTAGTCGGATTTACCCTATTGTCACTCATATGGACAACAAGATATAACGGTGTGTGTGTTTGGTGGGGGGGGGGGGGGGTTTGTTTCACGCGCACAACGCCATATTTCTTCACGCTTTCGTCCCTGAAACTGAACCGCAGCAGCAGCAGCCAAATATGGCTTAAAAAAAATAATAAAAAAAGAAAAACCAAACGCGCGCATAAAGATAAATATACGTCATTGCAAGTGCATAAGATGGAAGCGTATTTTGCCGCCATGAGGCGGGGATGCCTGGTTCACCTTCAGCCGGGGTACTTACGAGGTAAGGGTCGGGGCCCTTGGGCCTGGCAAAGAACGGCGCCGTGTAGGCGGCCGCTGGACCGGGAGATCCCTGGAGGTGGTGAGGAAACACAAAACAACTTATTTACTGTACAAACAAACAAACACTGGGAACTCCCATCAATCCGGATACCAATGATGAGATCACCAAGGGGCTCCTCGAAAAATCTAGGTAGTATTTTTTTTTTTTTGCAAAATATTAGCAGAAAAAGTGAGAAAGTGAAGTTAATCAAGTTTGTGAGAAACACATGAAATTAATACTTCAGATTTCAGAAACCACAGCCATCAGCAATTTTTAAAAGCGGTCTTCATATTTCAGCTTTCTTGGTGATCTTTGATAGCCGGTTTGCAGGAGACCACAAACACGTTGTCAGTCACATATATATAGCTCTGGTAGCAGGCGAGCTTGTCGCAGACAATACACAGCGCTGGCCACATGTATGTCTGGCTAAAAATCTGCCCGAGTTCCGACCAATCAGTTACTTACAAGGTACGGATCTGGACCTTTAGGCCTGTTGAAAAATGGTGGATATATTGGTCTTTCGGCGGCAGCCGAGCCTGGGGGTCCCTATGTGTTCATATATGGTTTACAGTTAACAAAGGTCAAGTTTTTATCGCATTTTTTTATGAAAGGAGGATTCTACCAATTAAATTTTGGCTAACAGTATGTACAGTTTTTAACATATTTACCCAAAATAAAGACTTAATCAATGAATAAAGCAATGCTGTATCAAATATCATTTAAATGATGGATTGACTCACACCAAGATAACTATTATAATCAGGAACATTATGGCAAAACGCCCATCAAAATATTTAAATAGATAAATAAAGATTAAATAAGATGAAAAGTTACAAGAACGGATGCGTTTCTGTCTGAAATAAAATGCATTGTTAAAAATTTCCTTCAAAAAATATAAACACCAAAACTTTGAATTACAATTCCAAATCTGCAAGTACATTAAACGTTGAAAAAATAAGAGAAAACAACAAATGAAAAAGTCAAAAATATATAATATTAAGTAGCATTATTTGCTTATAAATCAATAATAAATCTGTGATTACTCATATGTGACTTACTTATGCATTCAGTTTTCAAAGCAAAACTTATTTAATAAAAAAATTACTTACGGGAGGACCTGGTGGACCGGGTGGACCCTAAACAAGATATTAACAAAAGAGATGTATTAAGCATGTAAACGATTGGAATCTAAAAAGGAATTTTATTTAAAAATCCACTTTACGCCTGCATCGCGCCACGTTCACATTTTGTACCATGGTTTTACCTGTTGATGGAAATATATTGAAATACTTCTCTTCAGAACTGCAGTATTGGCGCGTACCACATGTACGAGGATAAGATTATCTCTAGCTTTATCCAATGTGTTGAAATGCACAAACATCGAAAGCAATGTAATTTTTTTTTTTTGAGAATTGCTACTACTTCTTTCGTATGTGTAATATATTTAAATATGACAGGAACAACAAAATGTCTACTTACTGGTCTGCCGTCATCTCCAGACATACCTCTTGGACCCTAAACAAGGAATCAATAATGTGAGTTATTTTTGAAATATTCGAAAAGAAAAATAAGGAAAAACAATTCCAAGTATATTTACTAAGAGAACTTATTTTCAAGGCGATGCAGTTTAACTGTCAAGTTAAGGAGTAAAAGAATGAATATATAACCTAAATTAAATTAGATTACAGAAATAGTGATGAAACCAAGCGCAAATTACGTTTTTTCAAAATACAAGGCACACAACTTCTTACTTCACAAAAAAATAAGTGATATCTTTATCTCTGTTTTAATAACAAAGTCTATTTTATAAACGAAGAATTCAAATAGTGCACAATAAAATAATATGTGGTTGAAAGTTAAAAGAGGTGTGTGGTGCGCTACCGTCATCATTGTAACCCCGCAGCAAAATGGCTGCATGGTGATGAATATGTGTGCGGATCGTCGCCAAGCTCACGATTTTAGTAATTTTTCAATCAGACCCAAACTTAGAGACTGGAAAGTGACGTGACAGACAACCCCCGGAAAGAGAGAGGCGGGATCTCTATCCATGGAGCCAAACTTTTGAGCTAAGAGATATCCTCGTCTGTCTGAACCGTTCTCGGTGACTGTCAGTGGCATCTTTTCAAATGTTAAAGATAAGATGGGCAAGGCGATGATTTACCGTGTTAAGTGCAACTTAAGTAATGTGTAACACATGAATTCGTATTGGATAGGGTCTGCCTCTGTAAGGCGGTCCACTGATAGGGATGTGCTTGGTCAATATGATTTTCTCAAGGAATCACGTGATGAATAACATGCGACGATGTGATTGGATCAAAATGAGACTCGGAAATCGATGGTTCTCCAAAACTATCACCTTTCAAGCTTCCCTGTCAGTGGAGGACATACAAGTTCATACCCTTCCGAAACCGTGTTTTGATAAGTGGTGACAAATGTGCCCGGAATGGTGCTAAAAGTACTGCTATCAAAACGTCCAGCAGCTAGTTTTAGAACCATTGCAATACTTACCGTGTCAACCGTTAGGGTAATAATAGACAGCATGTAAAAGTACACAGTGCTGACGTACAACAAGACAACAAATTGTTTCAAGCACGTGTGATTTTCTCATAGCTGTCATTATTCCCCTGCAGTCGACGTGCTGGTGCTTAGGAGGGTGCAGTGCTTTGTTTAAAGAAAAAAGCGGTTTTCTTCATTTTCGGGAATTGCAAATGCATCTTCCCTGGTTTCACACATCCGCTGAGAGATAGAGAGAAATGCGAGTGTTAGGTAAGATAAGAATGTTAAATAAAGGGTGCTGTGCCGCTGTCGAGTTTGGCCACTTTGATTCCAAATGTCCATACTGTCTATCCGTTTTGAGAAACTATGGCCTTTATTTTCGAGGTTAATGTGAATATGATCTTTTACACATTTAAGGTGTAGTGGATAAATTAAATACTTCATTTTAAGTTGTACAGTGAATTGAATTAGGAAAAAGTACATTGTGCCGAAAGAGAAGTGTCGCATTGTGCCAGAAGGTTCATTGAATTTTATTAGACAAGTGGTGAGGTAAAACTGATTGTGCTGAGAGGTTCATTAAATTCCATTGTGCCAAGAGACTCGTTAGATCTCAATGTGACTAGAGTTTATTTTAATCTCATTGTGACTAAAAGTTCAATAACTCTCATTGTGACTAGAGGTTTATGAAATCTCATTTGACAAAAGGTGAGTTAAATCCCGTAGAGACGAGAGTGCAGTGATGTCGCTCACCCTCATTCCTGGGGCACCCATTGGGCCCTGCGCACCGTCCTTTCCGGGAGGACCAGCTGGACCGCGCTCACCCTTTTATTTGAAAGAAGAAGAAGTATAGCAAGCTTTGGGAAAAGCAAGATAAAAAAGCTACACGTGACAGTAAAGTCACCATCACGTGCAGCGGGCATGCGCACCCATTCCCGGCAACTTAGAGCTGCCCTGGGTTCACGCTACAAGCCATTTCCTTACCGACGGGCCCGGCGGACCCATTGGCCCTTGGGAGCCATCTTTGCCTGGTCTACCTGGACTTCCTCGTTCGCCCTTTTACCAATAAAAATTGTACACGTACAGAAAAGTCTGACATTTAACATTTATATAATGTGTCCGTTATGGCACAAAGAATGGTTGAGGGAGGAGTCTCAGTTTTCCTAACCTAGGAACCATTTTGTACACGAAACAGATTCCAATGGCTAAATTTATTTAGAAAATGTGGGTCTTGGAACGAAATGGCAGTCTCCGTCAACCTTTCTTTGTACCTTAACTTAGTGTGTAATGTTGAAGTTGTCATTGTTATGGGTGGTAACCATTGCCCTTCTGGCTACCCCTTGGCCATTAAGGCCATCCTTGAGGTCACTTACGGTAGGCCCACGGGGACCAGGTTGTCCCATTTGTCCCGTTGCACCCATCTTACCGGGATAACCGCGTTCACCCTTTGAGAAAAACACAAATTATGGATGAGATATCGATCATTTCATTTCACCTCAAGGAACTACGTGTAACGTCCTGAAACCAATTTGAACAAGTCATTTTGCATGTGTAGTATTAAACAATTTTCTACATTAAACTTGATTTACTTGAAGCTTTTAATAAACTTCGGAAATTCGTCCCTTTGATCTTTCATCAATATAAAACAAACAAGCATTGTTCTTCGTGGGTCCTTTGTGGAGATTCATCCTTTTCCTGATGTTGGTCTTGCTGTAAAGTAAGGTTTTATTATTGCTTTGTCATAAGAGAAAATAAAATTATATCATACAAATATTGCGTTTATAAATATGTCTCTATCATTATCTCGTAAACAAAGCAAATTTAAGAATGAATCGAAAAACAGGTCTGAATTACTGTTGATTGGGGTACGTTTTTTATGTTAAGATACCAAACGTACTGCATGCAAATGAATAATACTTCATTCTCTATTAAACTAAGGCACTTTAAAAAGAAAAAGTAAACCAAAATCTGACATCATTTTTTATGTTTTTATTTAACCTAAACAGAGTCTTCTTCAAATCTTGCTTAACCTGCTTCAAAAACCAAACATTTGACACACGATAAGTTACGAGTTTCTATCAGAATGTTCAACGAGTTTACGAAACAACAGATCCGTCTGAAACCCACCAAATAATTTTACCCAGAGTGCTTCAAGCACTTCCGGCACTTACCCTTGGTCCTGGTGCTCCGTTAGATCCAGCTGGACCCATCTCTCCTGATGGACCCTGTGGGCCTGGACTTCCCTGAAGACCTGGGAGACCGGTGAAACCCTTGTCACCCTGGGGAACGAGAGTAACAGTTAGGTTTGGAGCTATGATTTTGACATTTTATTGGCGTATATTTTGTCAGGCCATCTGGGCTATATTATAATTTGGCGGTATAGGATTTGGTGTGATCGTCGGTGTACTTTTTTTAAAGCAGATATATACTATGTTAACCGTTTATTTAATTTAAGGACAAGGGAGAATCATTATACCTTCTTTCCATCGGCTCCACGATCTCCCTTAACACCTTGAAGGCCTTGGGCGCCCTGGAAGCATAAAGGTAATGTTGAGGTATTTAGATTACTCTATTTTATCTATCCGTACCAACAAATATTATTCCATATTCGTATTCATACACGACTCGTAGATCATTCCAACTTTTCACATATACAGGATTTTGTAATGTAAGAAACTAACACGATTCCTGGGCAAACTTTGATTTGAAATAGCTAGTACAAACACGAAATTTCCAAACACGAAACAGGGCGCTTTCCGACGTAAATTACTTACAAGAGTCATGAATATAATAGTAAAGTAACTAGTTTATACTTACAGTTGCTCCTGGAGGACCTGATGGCCCGGATGGACCGACTGGACCACGCTCACCCTACAAGTATAGGCGTAGGATGTTATTGACGGTAAGACGTGCTCACTTGCTAGATGAAAATTATCCATGTGTGTGTGTGTGTGTGCGTGTAATCTTCAAATTAATATGTATCTGTAGACTAATCTCGGAATGTGCATGTGTACTTTTACTTAATTCTGTTCAAAACAAGCGAAATAATGTGTCTTAAATGATGATAACAATTAACGTTTTATGTGCATTCTCAAATTAATATTTACTTTTTTTGGTGGAATGTTTTACGTTAATATGTTAGTAAATAGCTAATCTAAGTATTACAAAAATACAAGGTATGAGTATTTTAGTTAAACTAATTAGTATTGAAAGTAACACAAGTCATTTAAATACACATAAGGCACACATTCAATGTAATAGAACTATGGGGAAGTTAAGAAAAATTCCTCTAGAAAGATACATTTGGCGGTTTGAGTTCATCATATTTGTAAAGATTTGTTGGATTCGTTATACTCATTGTAGTATTCCATATGAGTTATTAAACTGACAATACAGTGTTACCCTCCATTCAGCATGGCACATTAAATGTACGATCCCTTAAATGTTCAAAACGTTATGATCTTTAAAACTGAATATTGTCCTGTATCGAAGGAATTACAAGCTTGTCCAAGTTTGTACCGATATGGACATGAATGCGATTTCAAATTCTCTACTTCCTAGTTTTTACAAGAAAATATTAACTGTGTGCCTTATATGAAACATCGAAACTATTGACAGCAAAGAACCTAGAAATGAGATTTTCTCCGTCAACTACACTCTTCAAAATGAAAATAATGCAGATATAAATGAGATATAACTGCACTACAAAACCAAAGGCATGGTTTTGTGTAGAAAGATGTCCCGTTTTTAAGTCAAACATTTTCCAAGAAGGCTGATGTTAGTTCTGTTATCCAAGCAAGTGGATACAATACAATATTTAACTTGGTTATTTCTAGATGAAAGTTGCAAAAGCACCATAGGCTTTCTACCGCAACTTAATATTCCGTGGTTGCTGTTGAAAGCTTGCGATACTTTGGTGACTTTCATCAAGAGCTTACAGAGTTTCACCTTGTTATCTATCATCCAAGTAGGACGCAACACATACATTCAAACAAAACAATCAATCATACCCGTTCACCCCTTTCTCCTGATGGACCTTGAGATCCTTGTTGGCCAGGTGGACCCTAATATCACACAGAAAAAAGTGCAAAAAGATCGTGAAAATAGTGCAGTGCGTGTGCATCTCTTATACCCTACACCCTCGTCCACATGGTCGTCCCTGGGGATCCCATGGGCCAGACGGCCCCTTGGGCATGAAAAACAAAAAGTGCTTGAGTGAGGAATAATAACAGCAAAGGTGCACGGTGCGTCAGTGCAAGAGGAACACTGGTAGCGTTCCTGTTGGTCTTACCGGTGCACCACGGTCGCCTGTCTTGCCTTCGGCACCTGGAGGACCTGCATTACCCTAAATACCAAACCATCTCAACAATCAGTATCAGTAACAATAAGTTTGACAGTTTTGGTTTAAACGCGTGTTATTCAATTGGTGGTATTACATCAGTTGGTTGAAAATGTAATATACTGTATTACATAGCAGTTACGTACATGTAACATAAAGTTGTTTCTAAGTCTTATACAGTTTGCCAGCGCAGTTGTCGCGTAAAAAATTTCGTAAAATAATGCAAACCGTAATAATCATAGATGAATGCACTCTGTTAACCTAAAATTACATTCAATAAACGAGCAGCACTGGATCAGGTATAACATTTTGTTTAATCTTGTTTCCAAGGCAACGTTACCTGTTGTCCTGGGAGACCGCTTGGGCCTGGTGGGCCGCTGGGGCCTGGTGGACCCTTCTCGCCTTGACGACCTGCAGGTCCTGGGAGACCATCCTTTCCTGGCATACCCTATGAAAAGAATCGCATAGAATCAAATGGCTGAAGAATCAACAAAGTGCAGGCCAAACGACATGTAATGTCTGATAAATACATGTAGGAATCGGTCTTCGACGTAATAAGGCCTGAAGCCAATTTTATGGTGCAACAACAAAATGCGCGCGCGCGAGCGCGCACACACACACACACACACACACACACACATAATACATGAAAAACAAACCTCATTTCCGGTTGCTCCTGGTGGTCCGGCTGGTCCCTGAGATCCTGGGAGACCCTGGTTACCCGGAGAGCCATCTTTGCCTGCCTGGCCCTGAGCACCGCGTTCACCAGCTGGGCCGGGGGCACCTTGTGGTCCTCTCTCTCCTCTACCTCCTGGTATACCTGGGCTGCCTCTGTCTCCCTGAGATCCCTGTGCTCCTGGGGGCCCAGCAACACCTGGGGCACCGTCGTCACCCTTTGGTCCCTTGTCACCTTCCTGGCCTGGTGGTCCCATTGGTCCTTGGTCTCCAGCACGTCCTTGTGGACCAGTTTCACCGCGCTCTCCCTTCTCTCCTGGCAGGCCGACCTCGCCCTGTGGTCCTGGGGGTCCGCTAGCACCCTGGACACCGGGGCCACCTGGGCGGCCTGGGGCACCTGGCAAACCAACGGCACCTTGAGCACCAGTGTCACCACGGCTTCCTGGGCGGCCGGGCAATCCGTCCTTTCCCTGTGAATTAGAGAATAGTTTGGTTCACCAGCCGTTTATATATTACTGCTTGGCTTGAAACAGATCTGAATTTAGGACGTGCAAGTTAATTTTGTTAAGTTCCTAGTAAATATTGTAAAAATATGAGCAGCTTGATTGGTAACACAAGCATCGTAAGAATTCTGAGGAAAACTGCGAACACTGGAGTGGTCGCAAACAGCCAAACGGGTGGATATATCATCACGCTAAATAAGATTTTTAGAACAAATTATTGCATTTATTTCCAATCTTCATCAGTTATATATCCGCCCCTAAAGGTTCGATATTTCGATTATCCATTTCGGATACTTCATACAGTATTGTCACGTACTGTGGCTATGATCAATAGAGATTGAAAGTGAAAGTATCAATAGAGATTGAAAGTGAAAGTATCAATAGAGAATGAAAGTGAAAACACTGCAACTTACTGGGGCACCTGCTGGGCCTTGCTCTCCGCGGTCACCCTGTTGTCCCTGTTCACCCTTCAGTCCCTGAGAACCTTGTTCACCACGCTGACCCTGTGGACCAGCTGGACCCTACGATGTTAAAACCACGGCGTTAACAAGTATATCATTTCTGATGGGTGGTGCATGGTGCGGATAAAGTTGTTCATCCTTCATAAAAAAACGATGCGTTTGTGCTGTTTTGTCTTGGTGTGGTGTTTCAGGTACAGTGGTACTCGCTAATATTTGTGAAACAAATACCTCTGACTCAGCAGATTGTACAATGTTTTTTTTTTCTCTGATATTATTCTGCATTGATCCAATGAGTTGCCAATGAGGTATGTAAGATTGTGTAAAAGGCGAAGGATGAACAAATGTCTACTGCTGTGTATAAAAGCAAGAGACTAACTCTAAGCAAGGACTAACTCTAAGCCGAGACTAACTCTAAGCAAGGACTTACTCTAAGCCGCGTACACACTACAGACAGTAGAGGCTGTCTAGCATAAATCAGCCTTGAAGGCAAAATACACCAATTATTTGGTCTAATCTGCGAATTATATTTTTCAATTATGTATAGCAAAAGATGGCTGCTTGCATAACATATAATGACAGGAGAAGTTTAGTAGCGATTTCTATTTCATATTAATCACACTCACTAGAAATGCTATTACCGATACCAAAGTGCACAAAACACTGCAACTACTACTAATTATTATTCCGTCAGTCAATTTTTCATAATCTACTGCAGCTACCACTTCACAGTGATGCTGGTCGTTCCAAAGACAGACACAAGAAAAAAGTTAAATGCATTTGATTGATTGAAAGCATGCCGCCAGAAGTTTGTCATTGGATTAGCTGTTGGGATCTGAAAGAGATTGCCATGATTTAGCAAAGAACAGACTAAACAAAGACACAGAAGCGATGTTGACAGATTCGGGAACTGGCTCTCACATTGCTTGATGTGACGTCAAAATACAACATGACGTAACATCTACAGGATGACGTCACATAGACGCCCTGGCGCAAGCTAAGGCAAGCTGCAAACAGACAAGACACATGGCTTTTTGGTTACCGGCGGTCCGGGAAGACCTTGCTGCCCTGGGAATCCTTGCTGACCTCGATCGCCATTTTTACCGGGGCGACCATCTTGACCGGCTGGTCCAGGACTACCGTTCTCGCCTCTTGGGCCTGGAGCACCAGCTGGGCCGGCGAGACCCTGTGGGCCCGGTTCTCCCTAAAGACGGGGCCAATAAAAAAAGAAAAGTGCAGGTGAAATATTTGTGCAAATTGTGGGTTACTGAAGTGCGCAGGCACTCACCGGTGGCCCTGGGAAACCCTGCTGGCCTGGTTGGCCGGCCAGACCTCGCTCTCCCTGCAGTCCTGGGGCACCAACTTCACCTGCTGGGCCTGGATCACCTGCGTCTCCCTTTTGTCCAGCTGGTCCCTGGTTACCCATGAGACCCTGGGCACCTGGCAAACCCTACACACGACACATAACATGACAGATGACGTAGAGATACATATAGAACACACGGAAACAATGTGTTAACCTTTTGGTTTCCCGAAAGGTTAAACCAAACACAGTTAAATAATGAATATTTTCGACTTTCTCTGTTTTTCTATTTTCCCCTGATATTTTTTGCTGTATATATCAATATTACGCTCAGATTGAGACAAAGTTAATTTAACTTCAGATATAATTTTATATTGACATTAATTATTCGTCTTTGACTTCCAGGCCTGTCGTCCCCACTTCATTGCTCTCCTGGAGAATCCATTCGCACACACTGCATATCTTTGACCGCCGCCAAACACAGGTGCTTTTCCACAGCTTTAAAATGATAAAGCTACCCGTGCGTGTGTTGGTTGCCAGTGGCACCTCTGCGTCTTACCCTCTCTCCATCCTTGCCGGCCTCTCCTGGGAGTCCGGGCTGTCCCTGGGCGCCGTCAGCTCCCTTGGGGCCGGCGGGTCCTGTTGGTCCGGTCTCTCCTGGAAGTCCCTGCAAGATAGGGTGTACATTTCGATAAAATTTCGTGTTTTTATTTATTTATTTATTTATTTATTTTTTGAAAAGTCTACATTTTTGTCGCTTTATTATCACAGATCACACCTTTGATGTATCATTGCAGCTCATATGTGTGGTACTCATAAACATGTACAGACACACAGGAATACACATAAATAAAAGGTTTACCAATAGTGGTTCTTCTGTTGTTATCATAGTAACACCTCCCAAATTTCTTGTATTGCATTTTTAACACATCGGATATTTGGCATTCTGGACCGATCATTTCGTCCAACCAGCAGGGTTAAGCTCCCTACTTACCGCCAGTCCTGGTTCGCCCTTCTCTCCCTTGGCTCCGGGGTTACCGTCCACACCTGGTTTGCCATCAGAGCCTGGGTCACCTGGAGATCCACGAGCGCCTGGAGGACCAGCGGGGCCGGCGTTGCCACGCTCTCCTGGCATACCGCGCTCACCCTATTCACGGAAAACAAGCTCAGAGTTTGGCTCAGTGTGCCTTGCATACGGATATCACTGTGCTGACATTTCAGATTGTAACTGGATACAACCTCATCTTAATATCCTGCAGTTTTCTGATTGAAACGCACCTAATAATTTTTGTATATGCAATTAAACGCTAACATAAAGTACTTNTTTTATTTATTTATTTTATTTTTTTAAGTCTACATTTTTGTCGCTTAATTATCACAGATCACATCATATGTATCATTGCAGCTCATATGTGTGGTACTCATAAACATGTACAGACACACAGGAACACACATAAATAAAAGGTTTACCAATAGTGGTTCTTCTGTTGTTATCATAGTAACACCTTCCAAATTTCTTGTATTGCATTTTTAACACATCGGATATTTGGCATTCTGGACCGATCATTTCGTCCAACCAGCAGGGTTAAGCTCCCTACTTACCGCCAGTCCTGGTTCGCCCTTCTCTCCCTTGGCTCCGGGGTTACCGTCCACACCTGGTTTGCCATCAGAGCCTGGGTCACCTGGAGATCCACGAGCGCCTGGAGGACCAGCGGGGCCGGCGTTGCCACGCTCTCCTGGCATACCGCGCTCACCCTATTCACGGAAAACAAGTTCAGAGTTTGGCTCAGTGTGCCTTGCATACGGATATCACTGTGCTGACATTTCAGATTGTAACTGGATACAACCTCATCTTAATATCCTGCAGTTTTCTGATTGAAACGCACCTAATAATTTTTGTATATGCAATTAAACGCTAACATAAAGTACTTCTTTGCGCCTTTCCGTTTTATTTCAGGGTTATGTAGGTATCATGAATTTTGAAAATGTACTTATGTACAGGGTGTATTTCTTCTGCACAGTATATTTAACATAGTAAGTTATAAATCTTAACTCTTATTTCAAAATAATGCTATCACTTACTCTTGGACCTGGAGCTCCTGGGTTGCCGGTGTTTCCTGGGGCGCCTTGTTCACCTGGTTTACCTGTCTCACCTGGGTTACCTGGGGCACCTGGGAGTCCCTGGAATCCTGGGGCGCCAGTCTTGCCGGGCTCTCCTCTATCTCCAGCCTCACCCTAAGGAGGGAGACAAGCAGGGAGATCGTTAAGGTTCAGAATGCTAGCGTTCAGTTGATGAAGATTATAACGTGTCCTTCTGAAGTAACTCCACCCCCCCCCAAATGCATATACCGGGTACATGCACACAGACCTCATGAATAGGAACCATCTTTGTATATACTACTACTTATTATAATGATAGAAATAATTATACGTTTATTAAACGTAACTTTCCAGTCGCAATGACATTTTCAGCCCCATTACACTATTTTCTACACACGACAAGCACCTGTTCTACATGTACTTACTGGTAGACCTGGAGGTCCGATAGGTCCGGTCTGGCCGTCCTTGCCGGGGTCACCTTGTGGGCCAGTGGGGCCAGCTGGTCCAACCTCACCGTTCTTTCCATTCTCACCCTAGTGGAAGAGACAAAACAATGCAGCATTGCCATCTGACCGTGGTAAAGGAAATGGGTCAAATACGTTTTTCACATATTCATGATATAACGGCTACAGTAAGACCATTAAGTAATAATTTAGTGTAACTTACGGCGTGAGGAATTTGTACACGTTTTAGTCATATATTGGTGCCACTTACGGGGAATCCTTTCTCTCCTGGGGGTCCCTGAAGTCCGGGCAGGCCCTGTTGGCCAGCTGGTCCAATCTCACCGGGTTTGCCATCCTGACCTGGGGGGCCAGCGGGGCCGATTGGTCCTGGGCGTCCGTCATTACCCTGTGCGCCTGGCATACCCTAGGATGATATGAGCGATGATATTGGTAAACATCAATATTGTTATCGTTTAGTTATACATGTTCAATGTTAATATTGTTTCAATGCGCGAAGGCAATTTCATATTGAAATAAAGAAATGAGGTGGTATTAGACCATAAATATCTGGAAGCCATGGCTGTCGAACGTACGGACGTGAAATAATTACACAGGAAGGCTGACACACAAACCGAAGTAAAGTGAAGAAAGTCGGTTGTATAGGTCAACAAATGACCATGGATTTCATACATGTAGCTTAACCCATTACAACCATGAAGAATGCACAAAACAAATTTCTACTAAAGATTGACCCCAACTGAGCAAAAGATTCAAGAAATAGCTTCAAATATTCAAAGAGTGTCGGCATTAAAATTTCTGCGTACAAAGCACGCCTGTCATAAAATCGAACAATATTCACTGGATTTCATCCAACATTTCACTCACTCTTGGTCCCATGGCTCCCTGTTGTCCTGGGCGGCCGGTGTCTCCCTGGGGTCCCTTGGCACCTGGCTCACCAGTGGCACCCTTGTCTCCGTCAGCACCCTTGGGGCCCATTGGTCCGCTTTGTCCGGGGAGGCCGCGGTCTCCTGGGCCACCTCTATCTCCCTGGGGTCCTGGGGGTCCGTTGTTTCCTGGGGTACCGCGTGCACCCTGGAGGTAGAGGATTCCTTGTTATTATGTATTATGGTTTTTAGCATTTTCAGAAGATTATCTTTCAATGTATCATTCATGGTTGGGGAATTCTGTTTTAAGTGAACTTATTATATTATACTTGACTCTTACAATAGACAGGGCGTCTGACAAATATGTAAACATATAAACTAGTGCATGAAGACAATGATGTTAACCTTTAAAATTAAAAGAGGTGACGTCAACATAACTCTGCATAAACCGCACCCTCAATTATAGCCTACGTGTGACTCGAAATCGTAAGGGTTTTGATAGAGACAGCACAAGCCGCGCTTCTGAACGTAGCTTAGACTTACTCTCTTTCCTGGCTCGCCGGGCATTCCCTGGGCTCCACGTTCTCCTGCTGGTCCGGCAGCTCCCTGGGGTCCTGGCTCTCCCTTGTAACCTGGGGTTCCGGGGGCACCTGTCTCTCCCTTGGCCCCAGCAGGTCCGGGGCCGCCTACTGGTCCTGGGGGACCCTGGGGTCCTGGGAAGCCTGGGGAACCTGTGGCTCCGGTCTCACCCTGGGGGCCCTTCTCGCCATCCTTGCCTGGGGCACCGTCCTTGCCCTATAGATGGAGATAATGGCATTGGGATGTGTAACTTAAAATTTGCTGGTCGCGGCATCATTTGTTTGAACGAGATTAGAATGTACGTGGCTTTGTTATCTATGTATATTCTCCTATACATGCCTTCTAAAATATATGTCAAGAGCCTTTGTTTTTAGAATAAAAATATATCACAGTCATATGATATGATAGATGTACATTTTGGAATGAGGTTGAAGAATACTTACGGGGTTGCCATTTGCACCTGGGGGTCCGGTGGCACCACGGATGCCACGTGGTCCCTGAAGACCTTGGTTACCCTTAGGTCCGCCAGCACCGCGGTCGCCCTTAGCACCTGGAGATCCGGGGAATCCTGGTGACCCTGTTGGTCCGGCAGGTCCTGGTGGACCAGCTGCACCGGGCTGTCCGTCAATACCTCTCAGACCCTAGACAAAGAGATGTTAAAGGATTTTAAAATAACTGAACTGCCCGACGCACCCCAAAAAGACTTATTTAAATTTGGAATCGTGTAATATACTTTACAGCAAATGTGTTGAACAAACTGCAGTCGCAGTAAAATACTTTGTTTTCCCGTTCAATATAAAAGAAAATCAAATATTTTTTTTGAAGTGGATATAAAAACGCTATGTGGCTTTGGATTGAACACGACAATGCTACGAGCAAAACAATCAGAATAATGGGAGAATTTGTGCAGAGAAATCATATCGCATGGGTCCAAGTTCGACAAGTGCTCAAAGGCGTCAGCTTCTTACCTGAGGTCCTTGGGGTCCATTGCGTCCTCTCTCTCCTGGGGCACCGCGGGGTCCAGCTGGGCCTTGTTCTCCTTGTTGTCCTGGGGATCCTGTAGGACCGCTTGGGCCACTTGCTCCCTGGGATCCCTTAGCTCCGGCGGCACCGGGGAAACCACGATGTCCTTTGGCGCCTGGAAGTCCTGGAATGCCAGCGGCTCCTCTGGCTCCCTAGTGATAAAACATGTTATTTGTCAGTCAAAAAACACGCTATCAGTACATGTATAACATGTCAGAGTGATCAAAGCCATGGGTGATGGACGAAAGTACTTATTACAAACAATTATGATTTTTTTAATTTGTGGTACCTGCGGAGTTATCGAACACTTACTGGTGGTCCGGGCAGTCCTCTTGGTCCTGACTCGCCGTCTTTGCCTGGTTCACCCTAAATATGACAAAAATTCAAAAACATGTTAAACAACGCCTTCTTTGAGTTGATCGATATTTCGTGAAAGTGAACGTCAGATCCAAGTATTAGGACAAAAATTGAATTTAACTGATAAATATGATTTTATTGTACACAATTTAAAACCTGTGTCCTTTTGTCATTTTAAGACAGAACCTAAATGTCGCTTATGCCAAAAAAGTGGTTGTTAGCCACTGTTCCACCATTATTAAGTATATATATATTCCTCATACAGATAGAACATCATTTAAATAGTTGAATAGTTTAAATAGGTATAAAAGTTGGTAAATAAACGAAACGAAAAAAAGAAAAATAAAAGATTACTGTAAAACAAGTAGCATTTGACAGTGGCCGACTGCCGAAAGTGCAATAAATAAAGTGCGGCATGTGTCAGGTTTCAATTGTAAAGTTATCTGTTAAGCAAAAATGTGTCTGTCAAGATACAACAATAACGTTTATATGCGAATCTAATATTTAAAACTGTTTTCGCCGATTCACGTTTCGCAAATACTTTTTTTAATCTAAGGCTTATTATACACTGTAATGACGCAATGTGCGCTTGTATGCGTGGCTTGTGCAGTTCAAATGTGAAATTTAAGACTAAGTGCAAGGCTAACTTACGTCTCGTCCGGGTAACCCTGGGTTTCCAGGAGCTCCGCGTGATCCGGGGTTGCCCTAAACAGCAGTGCAGGGTGAAACAAAAGTGTGCAATTATTTAGCTACATTGAAGTGCTATTGTGCTCTGGGCTGTGTTCTGTTTAGCCGTGGTTTTCCTGGCTCAGGATCGGGAAAAAGCTCTCTCCGTCCGCTTCTGGATTGGGTATCTTTTTTGTCGAGATTACTTTTGGTTTTCAAGTATTAAGCTCGAATTTAATTTTGTTGCCGCCAAGCAGATCATCGATTAATTCAAAGGGTGAAAACCCACAACCATATAGGCAATCTCGACAAAGCAAATACAAAGTCCTGTCATGCAAAATAAATTCTCTCCAATGCTGAAGAGGGAAATGAGGAGTAGAATTGGGCCATTGGGGTCGTAAGGGACCGTGAGGGTCGTAAGGGACAGTGCAGGTGCTCCAGATTGTTCACTTACATCCTTGCCAGCGGGGCCTGGGAGACCAGTTACACCACGAGGTCCTGGTGGTCCCTTTATAGAACAGCAAATAACATCAACTCAATGAAGAAATGACATGGTAACGTACATCTTCTACCATAAGATTGTCATATCTGTATTCTTGAAGTTAAACACAGAGCAAGTAGAAATAGTACTAGTAGAAGAAATAGTAGAAATGGTAGAGGCAGGAGCAGTCACAGGACTAAAACACATCATCCGTTCTATTGTAAAGAAAACTGAATTCAATTTTTTCCATTGAAAACACTACAGCACAATTAACGACAATATGGCAAATTTACGTAACGGAGTATCATCATTTACAAAACTACACACAAATGAAGAAACACAAAATATATCTTTATCTATATTATTTCAATCATCTGTATTTACTTTTTATATGAAGAAAATGTTTTTTTTTTATTTCTATACAGTTTACTGTACGTACCGATGGTCCCTGTTCTCCTTGTTCACCTCTGAGGCCTTGGAAACCTGGGGGACCTGGGGGCCCTGGGGGGCCAGAGGGACCACGTGGACCCATGGGACCCTGAGAAAATGGAAAGCAAACTGCGATTCAGGTGGAAGACATTTGCAGTAATTTATCTAGCAGGAAGACGTAAAAGAAATGTTTATGTTTCAGTGAGTATGGTTTAGAGTACGCTTTAATTTTTATTACGGAAAATGCTATTATGAAACGAAGCATAACAACATTGATGTCGTCCTATATTGTCCAAATATCTCTCTGTGAAACAGAAGACTTCTGGCTTTATCATCTTTTATACTTCTGTTTGACTACTCTATAAAGGTTTTTCATTGTGGTTTAAACTGTGAATTACTGTGTGTTTGTTAGGTTGGGTAACCCAAAATACACCTCAACAAGTAGATTATTGGCTTAAAGTGCTTTGTTCCCGAGAGGCCAAACTACATGATGACTTTAACTTGGCACACCACAAGAATGGCTGACAGGAACACAATGTCCGATTAACTGACTGAATATTTTACAGGCTTTGTTAAAAACACTATTTTGTCTTAACATTGCACATATTTCTTCAGTTTGTTTGTGTCTATCATTTTGTATTGCTTCAAGTTCAATGCACTTCCCTTTGTCGAAACGACTTTTGTTGAATTAGTTACTATGACGACAAAATCTGTGGTCTCCTTGCCATCTAACGTGGACAGAATACCCCTCGAATGACTAAAAGACTATCTCTAGAGCTTCGAAAATTCGTCTAGAGACAATCCTTTAGACCTTCTAGAGATAATATGGTTCTCGGACAAGGCGTGGTTTCGTCACGTGGTCTGGATGATGTGACTGTGAGAGGCGATTGGTCGCTATCATAAGAGCTTAAACGTTTTGGAATTTAAAAAGCAAGTGGCTGTTTCACTTCATTACGTACATTCAAGTTTGAAGAACATGTTCCAAAACTGGTGAAACGGGTAGCTAGATAACTGGGTCGAAAAGATTTGTGTTTGTGAAAAGATAAGTTCATCTTTTACCAATTTCTGCCAGTAAGGGAGGTATTGTGGTGAAGCATAAACCAACAGAAGAGCACGTGAAGTTAAGGTGGCTCATTGGTCATCTCTTCTCCATGGTGCATGCACCTCGAGAAATGTCAAAAATCTTGGTGAAACTTTATATGAATCGATTTATAAACGGTTGTTAATTTTTACTCGGACAAACTTTCCATAGTGCTGGTATGCTGTCAGACTGCTTGGATCGAAGGGGCGTAACCGAAAATCCCTACATTATGATAGTATCTAATAAAGGAAAAAGTGACGAGACAAGCATTCTCAAAATATGTCGGTCTAACATGGGAATCCCGTAAGCGAACTTCACTCCATATTAGCTACCGTAAACTGTCCCACTGCATTCTTCGACAATCCGATTTACAATTTGGAAAACAGGAACTTCCTACACCGAGCGATATACACTGACGCTGCATGTATCAATGCCACGGCTTACACAGCGCTACTCGTCAATCAATCAGATTAAGGTATTGTAAGTAACTAAACCGAGTAAAAAATCATAAATGGACTACACCTGGGGGATCAACTCCGTGATCATGGCATTTCAGCAACTTTCTCACGCACTTTCAACTTGCCATTCCTTTTATCCAGCGTTTGAACAGTATGTTTGTTTCACGGCTTGTCGACCCCTATTGCAGAAGTCTATGAAAATAACACATGTCGATGTAGTTTACGCGAGTATAAAAAAATACCCTGCACCGTTAAAAGCGATCACTTATTTTTCCATATTTGCGTCCAGTGTAACGGGCCATATCATTAAGCGTCGTTGAATTGCTTATACGTCTATTACGATGGTTTGTGTATGCCGTCTGACGACGCGTTGCTCATGTGCAGATTTGCTTGTCCATATGCGAAGAGTTAAGAATTATTTATTCACCATTATTAATTATGACGTATTGCCCTGTTTGGTATAAGCAATAGTTGACAGTTTCATAAACAAAATTGTTTTCATAAGCCAAAGAGTCATTTACGTATACTCTTAGGGGTCATTAAGTAATCTCACAAAGGTTTATTTAGGCAGGAAGTAGACGGATTGCAATATAAGTGAAAATACATTTCCAGGAACAGGAGAGACAAAGTTCAGTAAACCCAGAGGATTCAAAACACACTGGCATTGACTGCATATCAAAATATTTCTGTAATCGGAACTTTTAGATCGTGACGGTAGAACCCAAAATGGTGAGATATACAAAAGTTGCCAACGTTACTGCATCAATCGGATCATCTTTAAGCAGGGACGGGAGATGTAATCTTCGTGTAATGCACGTTGAAACAACCGAGGCGGGTGGTGTCTGTCTGACCCTTCTAAGCATATTTAGAGCGTTAGTAGTAATTGATTCATAACGGGTATGTTACCTGTTGGGCTTGGAGGTACCCGGTGCCAGCAGGCATGGTCTGCCCCTTGAAGTCACCCTGTTGTCTCTCCATGAACTTCTTGTAAAAGGAATCAGCAGTCTGAAAAGTCAGCAAAATCAGAAGAATTAGTCCCGTTGCCATTGTGATTCAGACAAAATAAAAGCCGAGCAACTCCCTGCTGTGGTACCCAGTTTGTTTCAACCAAGTTCCAACTTTCGTACCAGGTCCCAAGCTTGCTTAGAAAACCTTCTCTGACCCACAACATTAAGTTGCACTTGGTTCTGATGTTGGTATTTGAATAGTCTCAGTGTTTTGGTGACATTAAGCGCTTAACAGTTCCATCTTAACTACGCGTATTTCAGAACCGATCAAGAAAGTCACCTCCACTGACTTTTAGAAGTGTAGGAGGTAAGGTGACGGACGATCAGACCTAACCCCGGGAACATTCTTTAAAAGAGGCATGTGCTTTCTCACAAGGCCCAGACGGGGAACGCTGAATCAGTTACGATCCGAAGCAGCGTATGAGCGTTATCAAATATTTGAAAAGTCATTTCAACAGATGTAACCTTAATCAGTTTCACTTCCAGACGCAATTTACTAGAGAAAATAGGCACACTTTGACTTGTTCTGCGGCTAGAAGTAGCTGGAAAAACAACCCCTCATGAATACGGGAATAAAAACAACATGTTGTCGGGCCTTGCCATAAGTCGACAAAAACGTTTTTTATTTGGAAAATCGCACAGCATGTGTGCAGGCAAGAGTCGGTGTTTATGTTTCCCAATCACGCTAATATGAAAAAAACCAAGAGAAAGTTCTTGGTGCAGACAGATACAAAACTGGGAATGGAAAGTCACTCATCGCGAGGATCTAAAAGTTTAAAATCCAATTTGACGACGAGACCACCACTAGACAAAACGAGCAGGCTTGCATGATATTATCACAACTAGAAGACACAGCGGGGCATGGCTGTTAGTGACTGGCAGCGTCTATAATAATTCATTCTGTTTGTTTTGTTGCGGTCTACGCTTTATGAATACAACAAACCAATGGAGAACTAGCATATAGTCAGATATCGTGCTTATTTTTATCAAACGTACAAGGCGTACTGCATGAAAACGAAGACAATAGCGTCTTCACATCAGTCTTACATGTAGCTGACATCAATTAATTCCATGTACAACACAGTTGGGCCAACAAAATTTTTCGTTGGTTTGAGATCTTTAACTTTGCTTATCAAGGGACTTAAAACGTTTTGAACAAAAATCGTGAGATGTTCTAATACTTCCCTCGTTTTTCTTTCCAATATGATACAAATAAATGCAACTCGTTTTACTTTTTCTGTAATTTCCAACCGTTGCATCTTGCAACTCATCTTATGTAGCCTTTGGAAAATATCTTATGTTTGCTATATTAAGAAATATGGTGCCTTTTTATGACAATTCTTTGTATATATATCAACTATGATACTGTGCTGTATTACGTTTGTTAATGGAGTATTTGAAAGTGACCTACCTCGCTAGTAGAGCCTGGAGGACCTGGTGGGCCTGGAACTCCTGGAAGTCCATTAGGTCCGGGGTCACCCTACAAATAAAGCAAAATCATAATCAATTGGCTAATATTTTAGCGGAGGGTCACAAGCGAACATTGATTGGGAAGGACGTTTCCAAGAAAATGGGATTGTAATCGCACGCTCGATATGGTCTCGAGGGTTCTTGGTGCGACATCGAAAATGCGTTTTGATAAGTTAAAGTAACTGAATCAAATTTCTTTTTTGAAAATTCTACATACCTGCTCTCCTTGCTTTCCTTCTGGTCCACGTGGACCATGCTTGCCTGGTGCGAACTGAAATATACACGAAAAATTAATTACTGCACAATGAAGATATTTTCACACTGGTAAGCACCAATGATGGTTTACTTTACATTGCAAAAATGTTTGAGTAATTTTTTTTTACGTGCATGCGTCTTACCAGTCTTTTAAGGTGAAATAAGAAATATTTTATGTATTGGGGAAACTTTTGTGGCACGAAATTTGGAAACTTCCACCAAAAAAATGCCTACCTCTTGTCCGAGGTCACCAAAGAATGCGCTCATCGCTTCCTTCTGCAAATATATAAATACATGGCGCATCTCAAACATTTAAACTTGAAACAATTAAATTAAAATTGAATTAGTTTTTTTCGAGTAAAATGCTGCCTCAGTGAACAAGTCTCGTTCTTCAATTTTACAACGATGATCAACATTAAGTTAAAAGGCAATTACAAAGTTTAATTAAGAAGGAAGAGAGAGAGAGAGAGAGAGAGAGAGACAGAAGGGGGGGAGAGAGTACGTACGGCGTCATCTTGAGCCTTTTTCTCGCCTGAAACAAAATAAAAGAAATCCCAGTTAGGAAAACCTAATATTCATATTTAATATCATTTGTCCTATATAAACCAATATTTTTGGTTTATCACAGCAGTCTTGTTGTCTGAAACTTAAACCGAAACATAATCCATTAGTGGGAGGGGCATGTAAAAGCCGCGATCCATTCAGGTCATATATATTATATGTGCGCGTTAGTTTTTTTCATGCTGTGATGATGTTTTTATACAATTATTAATTTGATTTAAAAAAGAAATTCCGCTCAAGCAAGCGAGTTTTATTGTAGTTATCTTCCGGAAGCAAATGATAAAACCATAAACGATGGGTTGTTTAACAAGCGTTATAAAAGAGTAGTCCGTGACGTCATATCCAACTAGGTGAAGGAGTGAATTCAGTTGATGGATGGTGCCTCGTTTCCTGTTCAATGGTTGAGTGCATTACCACAAAAAAGGCAAGGTTACATAAGACTTGCAATGCATGTGACTTCTACGGCACATACGGGTTTCGTGATAGTGACGTCACGTTTCGGTCATCGAATTGCGACTTGATTGGAAAATAGTGAAAGAAAGGTACGTATGTGCAAGTTGAAAAACGTGTGCGTTGGTGTTCTAAATCCAAAAAAAAAAAAAAAAACAATATTTTGACAAAATAAAAATTACAAAATAAAAAGCATGCCATTCCTTTGACAGATGCACAGCTGGTAGTTTTAAATCAATTTTGAATATTCATTTCCATCCATCATTCACTCATTGACTTGTCTGAGGTGTGAATGAACTGATTTTGTGATAAACTTTGATATGTAAAACGGGCAATGTAATTTAGTACATTTAACAGCTTTGTGAATAAAATGTTGAATAAAATTGTAAAGCTTGTTAGTATCAAACTGTATAAATAAAACAATATTGTACTCCAAGATCAAAGTTTTCTTGCCAATTTACTTATAGCAATCAATGTGCAAATTATGATAAAATAAATATATTAAGCCAAAGTATAAAGTAAATATAATTTGTTAGTAAAACTACCAGTTGCAAAAGCCTCTCTATGTGCGATTACCGTTTTAAAAACATTTTGAATTAGAACGATGGCAACTGTAAATTTGACATAAGAAGGGAGTTATTTCCTGTGTTCAGAATGATTGCGTGTGCAATCATCTGTAATTGTAATCCACAAGAAAATGCAAAGCAGCTACATTCAGTTTGGACCTTTGATTTAAAAAAAAATTAGAGAGCCTTTGCATCCGGTTGCCAGTAAAACAAAGATTGTGCAAAAGTTAGGTGAAATGTACCTGGGCAAACCAAACAACATTCACCAAGGGGGACATAGGCATCATCAATGGGGCAGTTGGGCATATCACAAGAGAGAGTAATACAGGCGAACTGTCCGTCCTTGCAGCTACATTCAATACATTTGTCAGAATACGGCTTCACGACCTCGCCATGAGTGTAAAGCCTCCCATCGAAGACACAGCTTCGCTTTTCTGGAAAGAACGATTGTATATTTAGTCCCTGTCAACTTGTGAAGCTCGAAGTTTCTCTCCTTTTTTTCCTATCACCATCTTTTAGGGTTTTGACCAGTTGAAATTAAAGCAATAATAGGTATTTCAAAATGAAAACAATTAGTCATAACAATTAGTCATAGTGGATTAACTCATTGTACGTGCGGTCATCATTATCATTCAGCAAGCGTGTAATTTCAGGTGTAATATATGCCTTTTAGTTTCGAATTATGGTAGAATTACGCTTAGCGTGCCCTGTATCCTATGCCTACTCCATCGAAAGCATGTTTTCAAAACATGTTTCTTTTCAGATCATAATCCCCATGGAAACAGAAAACAGAGCTCAAGAGCATTTGGTGGCGGGAAACGCCGACACGAAAGTCTATAAATATGCCGCCTGTACAGACCACAACATACGAGGGGAAGTTTACGCGAGCTGTCAGACAGCCTTCTAAAAGGTCAGCGTGAGGTTAAACATGGATGCCAATGCATTATTTCGCGTTTCATACTGCCCTGTCCTCAGTGATGTCTGTGGAATTTGTTCATACCGAATTATCATTCATTTCATATTATGATGAGAGAATGAAATGCATTTGCCGTGCGATACATTTTAATTCTTGAAAATATTGCTTTAGTAAGGAGACAGCTGAGCTTGGGGAGAGCCGCGGCGTTTTTTGGGCGCTTGATGAAATCAGATACGCCTGGGAAACCGTAGTTTAATGTCCAATGTGGTAAATGTGTGCAACAAGTTTTCTGGGCCACCTGTTTTCAATATCAGTGAGTTCCCTACACTTTGTGTGACACTCCGAAGCCGCTCTGCAGAATGTGTAATATTCAACAACCCCAGAAGAGAGACTGCACACTACACGCGAGTTCAGATCGTATTCTACGTCATCACTTTCCTCCACCTGGGATATTATTTGACAGGCTGGTGCAACAAGTGACAGAGTTTTGGATTGTTCAGGAGTTTTTTATGGGGTTTCCACAACTGCTTTCTATTTTAACCTCAGCAACGGGTTCTCACCCGCTGCGAACGAAGCGAGTAGAGCTTCTAAAGTTCACAATTCCCATTTAACAATTTCTCGCTGAAATAAACCGTGCCCAACCGAGCAGTAAAGTTTTAGTGCTACGTGGCAGCTTACGAGCTACCGGATACGCGGCTCGGAAAACCACATTGATAACTTGGGGGTTGCAGGCTCATTTTATACGGTATACAATACGTTGGACTATACCTACACTGTTCTCGTCTTAAGTGGAATTTTCCGCTTTATATTTTAAATATCTTAAAAGAGAATTATTTGAGGAATTTCCTCAGCTACGTAACGTGATTTCGTTTCTCTAGTCATCGAACGACGCGTTAACGCCCCTCTTAAAGAAAGTGTCTTCAACTTTCTCCCAAAATTTAGTCACCATTACCCTGAGACAACAAGGAACAATGTTGTGAAAATGATGAAAAATTGTCACTTCTTAACCTTACAGTTAATAAAGTAGTGCTTTGTAGTCAGCGTTTTTGTCACGTTTAAGTGTTGCTGCGTTTGAAATTCCACTTTAAGTGTAACAAAACAAAGTAGTTGTTAAATGTCTGATCACTTTGAAATCGGTCTGCCTTCTCCATAGTGCAAAAGCTACAAACGTTGTTTTTATCTTATATTTGCGATGCAAAACCTACCATTTTCATGTTGGCTGTATCACAGTTGCCACCCACTTTCGTGTCACGTGACGTTCAGATTGCCGAGAGTCTGGACTCGCTTCTACCCTGACATTTTCTCTGGAAATTAGCTCTTTCATCGCAGGGATCACCATCTTCGTGCGTTCTTCGAGAATTCTCCTCAGTATCTGTCCCCGAGTGCCGCGCGTTAGGTGGGGTCTTTTCTACAGATTCCTCTCAAATCACGTGGTCGCTCATTTCTATTTGATTGGTCCTTTTACGTTCCAGACACTTCAGCGGGTCCAAACATCGAATTCGCCATTACAGACCATTAGTACGGTGCAGTCATGATTGTTTAAAGGTTTTCTCCGGTGATGTATGGTAAGCAGGGCTCAAGACTGCTGTTGTCTTTCCAAACAACCATCACGTGAAGGTCGGGCGGGGTTCGCTACTACGAAATGGAGTTCTTTAAAACGGGATGTTTTTGTGTTGAAATGTATCAACGTACATGTATTTGTACTGTGCATGGTAGTATAAAGATTAAAATAATGTAGATTATAATTTGATCCGTGAGGTAGAAAGGCCAGATTTGAACCAGTACGAACGTAAGAATTTATTCAGGGGGATATTTTCAACTGGTGTTGGGTATCACGTGCACGACAACGTCAGTAAACGAAATAAGGTCTTTGCCAAAATGAGATACTCAGACACCGGTTGACGCATTGTTGTTGATGGATTGGCACATCTGCGATTGATCATGTGGGCCCAAAACATTGACCTTGATAAGATAATTCTCAAAAATTCCTCACTGATTTGTGGAAAATATCCTAGGAATATTATGATTAAATTATAAATAATATATATAGAGAGAGTAATTTTATTGTTTATATTTGTATCAACATATTGAATCAGCATTGATTTTGCTATGCAACATACAGTGCACATGTACGTGATTCTGTAAACATTTTCAGGAAGATGAACCCCATGGATTTAGGTGTTAATTTAGAATGGTTACATACCAAAGTGATTAAGTGGAATTGCACCAAGTAGTCGAGTCCACCTTTATCTCCCAATTAATTATAACACATAAACGGACCACTGTTATTACATCGTTAACAGAGTACTCTCAACAGCTTATTCTTTTAATTTTGCGTCTCTCTCTCTCTCTCTTTCTCTCTCTCTCTCTCTCTCTCGCTTTGACAACAGAATAGCAGTTCCCAGTATGCAAGCAAGACGTTTGTTATACCGGTCTCTATGGACATGTTTAAGAGTTATGAAGCGTGAAAAAAGGATGAAGAAAAATCTGTTTTCGAGACGAAAACTTGTTCGGGGCTCAAACGACTGGCAAAGTTACTTAACTGCAAACATGTCTGAAACACAGCGGAAATAATTTGATAAATGGGCATGAAAGAATTTGGAGGCGGCGTTGTGACTTTGCTCCGCTCTTTCAATGTGTTTTTATAGCGTCGTTCAATGCAGTTCAAGCAGCGGCCCATGAGATTAACTTTGAAACCCGTTCCCTTGATTCGCTTGATTGTGGTCAGTGGTTGAAATTCAAACCGTACACGAGGTCTGTTTTTGACTAAAAGTTTTCTGGCTTTCTGGTTCTTGTTCTTTTCTTTTCAGTCCCCTGGTCGATGGGACTACACGTTTAGTTATAATAAAAAAAAATTAATGCACCAAAATTGGTCTTTCATGACAAAAACTAAATGATTATCATGCGCCAAATGTGTGTGTGTGAGAGAGAGAGAAAGAGAGAAATACCACGAACGCTAGGAGGTCCATATGTTTCTACTTCAATAACACGCACATTGTTTACATGGCCTCATTTGTGTATCATCAGCAGTAGTACAGTGGTTTGGGAGTTGGTCAATTGTGTGGTGATATATCGTAATTTATCAGTCGACTGAGTCACTTATCATAACTTGTTTACAATGCATTACTCAATTTCCTTGTGTTAACATTTTAACGACGACCAATGCAGCAAGGAACATGTAGTACCACTGACGGTCTTGTAATTAGATGGGATAATTTGTTTTGGAGACCACTTACATCTCCTGTAATATTGTCAATGGGTAAAATTCACTTAATCGGTCCGCGTTTGTCTATGACATTAAACGACACGTGCTTCTCTTCTTTCAATATATTGGAATAACACGCAGCGCCTGATTATTTAACAGACTTGGTAGGTAGCTGTTGTGGTAGTCTGCACTATATTACAGCCTACAAGGCTACCGAGACTGTGAAAACACGACAACGCGTGCGAAAGGGGCCTTGAAAAAACGTTACATTCTCAGCGTCAGCTGAACTTCGTTAAATTAAGAAAATCTCAGACCATTCTGAAACCCAATCTTGTCTCCGCGCCCCGGGCACGTTATGCAGGGGATTACTGGTGTTTTGAAAAAATTAACGTTTCCATGGCAACACCCGAGCCATGTTTATCTTTACTAAGGAGCATAAATTTGATAAGTCGTCTCGACAACTTGATCCTGAAAATGATTTGGACCTGGGGTGGAAAAGTAATCAGTTAGCGGAAGCGAATGAAGTTCCCCACAGCGTTTGCCCGTCGCCCCCCCCTTCCCCGCCCATTCTTTCTCTGTCTGTTGCAATGTATATATACGCGTAAAGAAATGGGACCTTAACCAGCGTTGATAATTAAAGGGAAACGTTTAACCTCCTGAATTCGGGTCAGTTTGCATTGGTATAATTTAGGAAATAAGGTTCAAATTCCACTCAAATAGCACTTGTCTGTACATACGGTGGAGTCACTTAAATTGCCTTTAACTTTCAATCAAGATTTCACCTCGGTTTCAGTTGAAGGAGAAAACAAAAAGATACAGCAGGACGTTCATCGATGTTATAATTGTATTTCTCTACTTTTAAAAACCAAGTTGCAGTGCCCAAGGTCAGATATAAATGAACATACATTTCGTATTTATCCTGTCAATTGACTTCTGAAGTTTAAGCTTTATATTATTTAAGTCTATTGCAGATTTGAGTACGTTATCAATGAAACGATGGTTGTAACGTTAGATTTTTTGAGAACCTAAGCGGCGGACCGGTTCACATTCCAGTCGCGGCCTGTGCGAAATTTGATTTCTTGCAAAATCTCGCACAATTAAGAAACACAAGTTTTTTTCTTCTGTCGTCTGCCCTTTTTCACCCTATCGACTGCCTTTCTTTGGAAGTCGTCGTTGAAATTGGTTAGTGACTGCTTCTCGACAGCTTGTTTAAAGCCATTAAATTAGATTACCTAGCTTCGATGAAAGGCTCTTGAAATTAAAACGTTAAAGTGAATTACGTAAAATGTTGGGGCACACGTGACCGACTCGTGGACAGAGTGTTTCGGTTTCGTTGAAAATGACTGTCTAACTTTAAGAAAAATTGCTGTAAGGGCTACTTTGAAATGATTTAAAAACTAATCAACTTTAAGTCGTGTCTTTTGTAAAGTCTGCGCGTTCACATTTTGGCGCGAGACCACTGCTTGTCAACCGCGGATTAAATCAACGTGTACCCCGCACTGACTGCTTGATTAAAATGTGATTGGACCAGATATTTCAGATTAGGGCGTAGTTTCTTTAAGGTTAACGTGGTAATCTAAATGAAAATACTAGCTTCACGCACGTGAAAGCACGACAAGTGTTTGTCGGTGAAATGAATTTGGACCTGGCTTTGCGAAGTTTGCAGCGTTATATCCTTGAAAAATGCACATTTTTTATAGAAAAAATAGAAACACGAAAGAAAACGAGTTGGCAAGTACGTCACACTAAGGGCAAACAAGTTTTCAAAATACTTCACTGTCGGTGGCTACAAAAATCCTAAAGCACATGTTCTTGCAGACGATGACTCATACCAGTGCAGGATAAATAAATCAGGAATTAAATCAAAACAAAATTTAAGAGGTATACAGGCCCTAAACCTATCACTAAAGCAACCGAATGTAAAAAGTGAAGCAGATCTAATGAATGGCCGCCTGTACCCCTTTTCTCTACCAACCACTGCATTGCTTAAACTCTGTACTCGGAGTTAAATGGCATTGTAGCTAGTGATTTAAATTCTTTTGACCAACCATATTTCACTTTATAACTTTGGCAGACATACGGATATCACGACGAAAGAAAACCTCTTGACAATAGCATTCCCTGCACAGCGTCCACGTGTTTTTCTTCAAGTGTAACAAGAACATCATTTCGGATATCTCCAAATCTACATTTGCAACAACTTCTGTGGAAAGGTCACCATAGAGGCGGATGGAACTTTAGAGGAAATACAACGAAATATGCCCTGCTATCACCTCAGATGACCTTTTATATCTTAATTATACCACGAAGGGCACCTAGATGTGAGAGGTTGTGTTTGTCAGTGTCTGTTACACCTTGGTTCGGTAACAACATCGGTGAAGCAATTTAATTACCTTCGTCACAGGTATCTACAACTTACCTACTGATACCCTGAATGGGAGTTTTTGGTACTACAAAATATAATACACTGATAGATAATAGATAAAATAAACAAAGGGGTGGGGTGGTCTGTCATATTTTTGTCTGTTGCCCTTTATACGTCTTTTAAAAATACTTTTTGTTTGCCAAAGCCTTTCAAAGTCTAGCATTTGCCCTGCTATTCTTTTGTAATTACTGAGCTCCCAGAATGTGAAAGTTATAAGCACAAACAGAAGAGTAAACAGACTGAACTTCAGCGACTTTCCAAATGTGTTGCAGGAATACAATTATTTTGACCGAAGTAGCTATTATGCACGCTCCACTGGCCGCCATCTTGCCGTTCGGCACGACTTAGACTTTTGGCCATGAGCGGCAGAGCTCAAACACAATAGGCAAGTGTTCTGAAGGAAAGCGCTGCTGATTGTGTTGACACCAAGGCATTCTTTGGCAATAACGCGTCTGTGTTTTTTGCCACTGCGCGAATAATTTGGAACAACGGCTGGTTCTGTCTCCGACAGACAGCAGACCGTTGGTTTGTGGCTGTTCTGGAATTTGGTGGTGTAGCAAGTTAAAGGAATTTTCATCGAGCAGTTAACTAAGATTGACCCATTGTGACACAATAATCTGTCACCCTAGAGAGAGCAATTGCATCTGTTTGGAAAGCAGTTATTTTGATTTATTTTATGTGTATAGTCACTTTCAAACATTAATTTAAATAAATTGTAATGCAAAGTCGACTTGATAAGGCGACCACATTATAATTGTTTCACTCACATAACAAATCCATTTTGTCCAAAACCACCGTTGCAGACTGTTTATAGTTATACGTAAGTGATACCAAAGCTGTCGCTTTGTTCCTGCAGATTGGTTTAATTTAAAAGCAAGTGTTTGGTGGAATGCTACTTCGTATATGGTATTGGAAACTGCGACCAAAAGACC